ATAAACAATCATTCAACTAACAAAATAATAATTCTTATAAACTTTGTAATAATAATTTTAAGTTATAGGACTTTACGCAAATTCACTTTTGTGACACAAATACAGAATTAGGAACGTTACTTCATAAAAGTAATGCCGTTACCGTTACTTTCTGTAAAAAATATCTTGTTACCTTTATTTAAAAAGTAACGATTTGTTACTTTTTTGTTATTTTTTTTATAATACTAATACAAATACTTTTTATAATACTAAAATACGTAATTAATTTTAAAATATTTCTAAACTTAAATTATTATTTTTGATATAGCCAGTTTGCCTAAAAAAACCAACTAATAACTGCAATAATACTGGAACTTATGGAACTAATATTTTTTTATGAACTTCATCCTATCTTTTTATCTTTTATTATTTTTCACGCAAAAATTATTGTTAGTACAAAGCTAGATTTTACAATTTGGCTCTTAAAAATTTTTCTTTAATAAACTTAATAATAGCAATGCTTAATATAATACCCACTTGTTCCATGATTTCTTACAAAAATGAATTATTAAGCATACTATTATTAAATTTATTATATAAATATTAAGCATACTATTATATAAATATTAAGCATACTATTATTAAATTTATTAAAACAAACTATTACATTTATTAAAAATTGTTAATAGCTAAATTACAAAATTCGACTTTGTACTAATCATTTTTACATGAAGAATAAGATAAAACCACGTGCTGTCTTCCAGCGATTGGATAGATATTTCTATTCAATCAAAAATACATGCTAATATACGCTATCAACGCGCGACCAGCGCATTATCCTTTAAATAGAGGTAATTAAAATAAAGATAAAAACAACGGTTGATTCGTTACTGTTACAAACGGAAAAAAGTAAGGTAAAAATACTAATAGCCGGACATGTACCTATCCTAGATATTGTTTTGTTTTTTAAATATAGATACTTGAACTTTTAACATAAAATAATATATATATAAATAATGAATATATACATGCATTCTATGTTGAAAGTTTAAATATTTGTATTTAAAAGCCAAAACAATAAGATGTTCAGAATTAAGTATATGTCTGGGAATTAGTATTTTTAATAATTGTTATTGAAAAAAGTAACGATAACGGTAACGATATTACAAGTAACGCGTTATCTCCCAACTCTCTCTCTCTCTCTGCATAAATAATATAATACATCACTGCGTATGCTTCTATGTTCTTGCGTAAGTTTTAGCTACGTGATGGACTCGCAACGCGTGATAATAACTAATTTCTCTTAATTTTAGTCAATTTAACTGAAATGGCCATTTGAGAAATAAAAGACATTTATAAATTATATGGTAATAACTGTTAACAAAATGTAGGAAAAATGAAAAAAAAATTTTAGTATTTAAATGAAATAAATGTTTCCTGTTGAATTATATTATTTTCAAAATATTATTTTAAAAAGATGTGTTCAACATTTAATGTTTTAACATTTAGTGGCAAAAATCGAAACTACTGAGACACCAATGAACAAAACAAGTAACCTGGTATTGCAGCAGAGCAGCAGTGCTAAATAACTGTATCCGGCATCTATCGTTTTTGAGAGGTCATGAGAAATCGATGTTGCTTGAGAGCAACATAATTAAATAAAGAGTTAATTCATTTTTTCAAATCAAAGTTTTTTTATTATAACACATTTTTTCAGTGCATGTATATATGTTGATTATGTAGTCAATAGCCGTATAGAAGACGTCCAATATCGTAACTGTACTCTCTAAATTTCTTGGAGTAAAGTTTCACTCTAAACAAGTGGATATTCACTCCAAGCGATGATGAAAATACTGCTACTCTAAATGGAGTAACATCTCACTTTTCATAAGAGTGAATATTTCACTCCAACTATAGTGAAAATTTCACTTTAAGAAGAGTGAATTTTTATGATATGGTAAAAACAAAAATCTTTAGTTCTATCTTGTTTGCTAGACTTCGGATTATCGCACAATCTTTTTAATGGTGTGCTATTTAGTTAATTCCATTTATAATAAGTTCGGAAAAATTCTCTGATCATAGTGGGACTTGAGAACCTGAGATCTCTGGCTCTTAAGTCCTATTTCGTAGTTACTGAGCTACTGCTATTAACTGATGGGAATGACTGTTATAATGATACATGAATTGTTTCCGAATCATTCACTCTTTCACGAGTTAAAAATTCACTCCATACGAGTGAAAAGTCACTCGTATATCTAACTCGAGTAACGATCATTACCATTTGTCGAATGAAAATTTACTCCACGACACAGAGTGAAAATTTTCACTCTACGATATAAAGTGAAGAAATTCACTCTATAAGAATGAGAAATTGCTCTAATTCGACTCGGCTGTCACTCCATTTTTCGAGTGAGATTTTCACTTCAAGAAATTTAGAGAGTAACGGAAGATTCAGGAGAAACGTAAGTATCTTTATCACACTCTTATCTCTATCAGATAACAACATAATAAAAGGATGCATATTTACACCAAGTACTTCGACTTATTATGGCTCATCAATCATGACTATTCCTCTCATGATAAGACCATGAACAGCTGGCAATCGTGACTATTTGATGCTTTATCGCAAAAAACGTATATTTAGCGTATACATTTATCTTAGTAGCACAGAATTCATTGAGGTAATATTGGCTTTCTTTCTACAAATTGGATCCCAATATACTTGTTGGCCCAGTATTGCAAAGTAGACGCTTTGCATTTTATAGCTAATATAAAATTCTGAATATTGGCAAATTATTTGTATCAATATTAACTACATACTGAGCTATATTAGTCCAATGTACCTTCAATGTATGCTAATATTGGTATAATCATCTCATGCAATATCGGCAATTTATTCATTTTTATTTATTTTTATTTATTTATAACCAATTTTTTTATTTATAACCAATATTAGATATATATTCACCTAATGTAACCAATATTGAGCTAATGTAACACCAATAAATTGTGCTATTAGAATCACATATACGTATAATAAAATTGGAAACGTGTATCACTAACTTTGAATCCGTTTATTCATTTATCGTTATTCGTTTTATATCTTTAAACAGAAAATGGAGTCATTAGCCCATTCTGGCAATCGTATGAACCAAGAAAGATAATCAGCAATGCGCTATCACACCGCGTGCACATGTTTCTTCCTTCGTATGACTAGTTGTAGTTGTGCAAATAGTAGTGTAAATAGTTATCTGGGATGTTGTCAAATATATATAAGCAGGGTGTGTCAGATTCGTTTTCTCAACGTTCGTGGGAACGTGAAACGGATTGAAGTGATCAGAGTTTGCATGTCCCATCACGCAATTGCAGTCGTTGCGTGAACGTATCAAGATCAATTCATGATGAGCGTTAATTATGATCCGTTTGTAGTCCTTATAAAAGCCTAACAATGCATTGAGCGGGACACAACAATTAAAGTATCCCGCAAACATGTTCTTCGAGAGATTCTAACCGGCGTTCCTCAATAATAAATTTTTGTCACGAGTCAGCGATACATAGTATTTGAGTGTGCTGATTATTCCAACGTTTCTGCAGCGGTCAATCTCCACACCATTGAGTTCGTATCGGATTTCATTAAACAGGAAAGCCGCGCAATTATTTGTCAACGTCTCAACTGTCTGGTTATCGTCTTCTATCCTCGTTTGCGTCACGTAAAAGTCTCATACCGTTTTGCGAAATTCAATAAATCTCGAGATATTAATTAAAGAAGATTGATGAATGATCACGCGCGATATGGTAGATGAGCTGTAGTGACAATGTGTGCTGTCATATACCTGTACATTAGATTAAACTGAACAAAAAAATCCTTTACCATTTTGCAAATGACAACATAGATTCTCAGATATTAATTATTATATATATTAATTATATAGATATTAATTAAATTATATAGGTATATAGATTTATTAGATTACATAAATATATAAAAATTATATGGATCATATAGATATTAATTAGATATTAATTAAAGAAGATTTGTACATTATCGTGCACAATCATGTAACAATTTCTTTTTTATTAATAACACAAAACCTAAGTTAATTGCAAAATGATAAGTAATTTTTTGGCTCAGTTTGAGCCTAATGTATACGACAGCACACATCGCCACTGGAGTTCATTTACTATATCGCACATGATCGTGTTCACCAAACTTTTTTAATTAATATCTCGAGATTTATTGCGAATATCGTAAAATGATACGGGACTTTTATATTTAAACCGAAATTATAGAAAGCTCCTTGAATAGATTAACTAACAGTAAAATTTGAAAAGGCACATAAGGAGCAAGCACGGATGTCTTAGTGCTATTAAATACTAATATTATTTTTTAATATTAATATGATAGTGGGAAGATAAAATTGTCCAGCATGTTAAACGTCCGTATCGAAATTTTTCTTCGATTATCGTACGCGGAGAATCAAACTTCCATACTTAGGCCCAATTTATATATATATATTTTTTAAAAATCCCAAACCCCATTAAACCGATAACTCAAATAGATTCATTATATATGTTGCGAAAAAACTGTCTCCGCCAGGACTCAAACCTGGAACCTCCCCACTTTCCGGGCGGAACGCCTTTCCATTCGGTCACCGAGGCTTCGACAGTAATCTCGCAACACAATGTTTATAAATTCTCTAAGATGTTGAGAGAGAAAGAAAGAGTGGATCTCGTAAGAGATGTTATTATACGAGAGAGAGATAGCATATTCTTCCTGCCAATGCTTAAGATAAACCGAAATTATAGAAAGCTCCTTGAATAGATTAACTAACAGTAAGATTTGAAAAGGCACATAACATATACAAGGTCTAAGCATGGAAGGTTGATTCTCTGCGTACGATAATCGAAGAAAAATTTTGATACGGGCGTTTAACATGCTGGACAATTTTACCCTCCCACTATCATATTAATATTAAAAAGTAATATTAGTATTTAATAGCACTAAGACATCCGTGCTTGCTCCTTATGTGCCTTTTATACCTTTTATATTTACTTCAATTCGTTCTACGTTGCCGTGAACATTGTGGAAACGAATTTGGGACACGCGGTATACGTATCGCAGAATCCGTTTAAACGATGAAATGTTCAGTTATATCGAAACGATTCCCATCAAACATTTCCAAATAGATATACGCTAAACGTTTAAACGTGTATTCAAATAAAAACGGATCGAAGTGGGAGCTATTATTGTACAAACTAGTGTATACTTGTGGACAGAATGATATTATCAGAAAAAAGAGTTTAATATCCATATTTTTTAGAGTGAGTTTGTAACTTTCTATCTTATCGAATTCGTTTTTTAATGGGAGAATTCTAAAAACCATTTTCGGACATTAGCATAAAGTTATCAGAGTAACAGATTGATGCTTTGGACATATCGCTCCTGCTTCTTTGAATAATTAACAAACTAAGAGGACAATTCTAATAACGTTTGCGCGTTAATAAAACACATGTTACATGTTAAGAAAATTATTAAATGCTTATAATTAGAAAATACTATTAACTATTGTATATTAATAAACATTGTATGTTAACATTATAAGTCTATTATATCTTATTATTTCGACTTATTATTAAGAGGATGCTGAAGTCGATGACAAACTCGAGTAATGTCGATAACGCAGAGACAATCATCACTATCACGCTATCTTTTTCGTATTTTTTGTACATACAGAACTTACATAAATATGAGTTGTTTTGTTCTATTATATTCAGCGGGAAACCTGACTACATATACATAAATATTATCTTCTTATTTCAGCTTGTGTGTATAGATAGTCGAGATGTTACGAAACATATATGCGGAGATCCATAATTCTAATGTCAATTTTTATTGTGGGCTAACGCATACATCGACGTGTACTTTGGCTTTTCTTTTATGTCACAGACGGTAATATATTTCGCGCATTTGTAAGACAAAAGGATGGAGGAGTCTCTTGGATAAGGCTCAAAGAAAACTTCAAAGTGAACGATCGATCCCCATGTAATCTTTACTCCATGAACGACAGTCCGAGCGTCGTTCCACTGGAGAAAAATTCAAGATGTCGTTTCTATTTTGTACGTTACATAAGCCAGCGAGGTCGACACTCATGCCTGTAAATATGAAAAGAAAGCAGAAGATGTACGCGAAGCAGATGACAGAATTGCGACACGTTCGCCGGTGACACGTTCGGTGGTAATAGTGCAAACACAATTATTAGCCCATTGCGTAGGCGTGTACAAGGAAACCGAGACGGATTCCAACGTTCGAATAAATGTACTCATCTTAAAGTTCTTGATCCTCGTTGCTGCGGAACTCTAGATTAATGGTGTCAGAAGCGAGAAAACACATGCCGAAAATTCTTACGTGCCATTTTCAAATAATAAAAAGATATTTGTATAAAGAAACATTTCAAATCTCTTGAGTATATATTTGTAAAATGTTCGAGAAACTATCGTTTTTCTTTGACGGTCATTGAATGACCTAAAAATTAACGTGATATGTAATCTTTTTTTTAAAGTTACTTTTTCTCATGATGTTAATATCTTTTTTTGGAAATGGCATGTAAGAACTTTTGCCATGCGTTTTCTCGCTTCTGATGTTATCAATTCAGAGTTTCGCAGCAGTGAAACCAAGTGCCTTAGCATGCAATTGTTTGACAATAACAATGCCGTTGGTTACTTATTTAAATCTACATTCCTATACAGCACAAAACTTTAAAGGATGTTCTAAAGACGTTCTAAGGACATTTATACATCCTAAGAACGTTCTAGAACATTCTCTGAAGATTTTATGCTATCTGGGTTCATTACTTTAATCTACATCTTAATTATGCCGCTTGAATATTCAGTAATTAATGCCACACGACGTACGGTCACAAAGGGCAAGCGAGTAACTCATTGCATAGTTAAATACGAGGATTAAATAGATCGTGTTGACTTTACAGAAAACTAAATTTATTCCTGACGTAATTGGTGTGAAATGAGGAAAAAGTATGTGAAACGGTGGGACTACGAAATAGTGGTAATTTTCACACATTTTTATCTTTTATTTATTCTGTATATATACGTATCCTGTGTACATGGATCTTATGTTCATAACTTATGTTATGTACTGTCATAATAGCTTCAACATCTAGTGATTATTTCATAGAAATGACGATGTGTCAACTATTCTCCAGAAAGAGAATTTACAACGTAAATCATTAAATCAAGTGAAAAAAGAAATGAAACTTATTATATTATGTTATTATGTTATTTATTATGCCATTACTATTATGTTATTATTGTAAATAAATTGAATCCGTATTTTTTTAAGGAATACTGAAGCTGAAAATTTTACCGGCAGAACACTGACATTTTTCTATAAAGTTTACGTCATATAGGTTGTACAAAATTACAAATACTTTTACGCAAAAGAGTGTGGGAGCATTGCTCAATATGTAATAAAAACAAAAAATTTGTAATATAAAATTTCAAGCTGTTAGCGTAATATTAGTCTAATCCGAAAGTTTCGCAACTTGTACATATCGAAAATGTGAATACTCCAAAACAGAAAAAGAACATTGCTTCGCATTTGAATTCAGGAGCTTAAGAATATCGGAAAAGTTTGCAAAAAGATTTTTGCATATGCAAAATGCATGGTTAAGTTTCCCGCTGAATATAATAAAACAAAGCAACACATATTTGTATAAGTTCTGTCTGTACAAGAAATACGAAAAAGATAGCGTGATTAGTGACGATCGTATCTGCATTATCGACATTGTTCAAGTTCATCATCGACTTCAGCATACTCTTAATAATAAGACTCATTTAGTTTTTATTTCTCCATTTCATACATTAAATGAGAACCTTTTAAATCAATTCAATTTAATCGAATTAATCGAATTAATAATTTACATGTATTCAATAAATATATTTTGATGCATTACAATACATTAACAAAATTTGTTTAATTAACAACTTCCGATCATTACTTTCCTCGTTTTTTTGCGATGCTAATTTTTCATCTTAAGTCACGACATAAAGCGTTTGTTTCTTTTGAAAATTGACACTTGACTTATAGGTCGCATACATACAATCCCTTAACATAAATTTCTTAAATTCACATATTAAAGATGACTCTGGGAAATTTGCTCTGTGATTCTTTTAAAAAATTAGCAATTTATAACATAAGACATTCCGTATGATAAGGATTCAGCTATGTTGCTGTTTCTTATAAAAACAAATATTACACTGTAAAAACTGATGTGTTAAATTTAACATTCCATGTGTTCCAAATCATCCACTCTCATTTATGTGTAAATTTAACACAAAACAAATGTGGTAAAAAATAACACGCATAATATGTAAAAAATTAACACAAGAATTTAATATTTCAATACCGTTAGGAATCACAGTTTGTGTTAAATTGACATATATATAATGTTAAATTAACTAAACTAAAACGTTATTTTAATATTTAAGAGAAGTATTAATCTATGATTTTGATAAAATAAAAATGTTAAATTGACATAATCTATGTTTGACATATTAAATATGTCAATTTAACACAACCTGTGATTCCTAACAGTATTCAAATGTTAAATTGTTGTGTTAATTTTTTCCATATTATTTTCCGTATTACTTTTTAACACATTTGTTTTATGTTAAATTTTCACATAAATGAGAGTGGATGATTTGGAAAACATAAAATGTGTTAAATTTAATCAGTTTATAGCGCTTAAAGTTTGAAAGAGTCTACATAAACATACAGAATTACAAACTATTACTCAATTTCAACCAAAAAGATAAAATTGGCTCTAAAATTACTTGAAATAAAAAAATTTTAGTAAAAGCCGTACGTTGAAGTATGCTTTATTGAATTGTCTCTTTTAAATTTCTTCCTAATTTTCCTTAATTAAATCTTAATTTTTTTTAAATCTCTTTAATTAATTTTTCTTAATTTTTTAAAATCTTTTTAATTAATTTTTCTTAATTTTTAATTAATTTTTCTTAATCTTTTTCCTAGTTCTTTTAATTTTTTCTAAAATCTTTTTTTTTGCCGTTGCCAATTTTTAATTGATGCGATTGTGATGCAATTGTGAAGAAATGTATTAAACCGAAATAATAGAACGCTCCTTTATAGAATTAACTAATAGTGAAATATTAATGGCACATAAGGAGCTAGCACGGATGTCTTAGTGCTATTAAATACTAATATAATTTTAATATTAATATGATTGTGGGAGGATAAAAATGTCCAGTATGTCAAACGCACGTATCGAAATTTTCTCTTCGACTAACGTACGCGGAGAATCAATCAACCTTCCATACTTAGACCGATCCTTGAGTCCCAAATTCAAATATATATTTTAATTAAAATCCCAAACCCCCATTAAACCGAAGACTCAAATAGATTCCTTTTTTATATATGTTGCGAAAAAACTGCCTCCGCCAGGACTCGAACCTGGAACCTCCCCACTTTCCGGGCGGGACGCCTTTCCATTCGGCCACCAAGGCTTCGACAGTAATCTCGCAACACAATGTTTATAAATTCTCTAAGATGTAAGGTGAGAGAGAACGAAAGAGTCGATCTCGTAAGAGATGTTATTGTACGAGAGAGAGATAGCATATTCTTCCTGCCGATGCTTTAAGATAAACCGAAATAATAGAACGCACCTTTATAGAATTAACTAATAGTGAAATATTAATGGCACATAAGGAGCTAGCACGGATGTCTTAGTGCTATTAAATACTAATATAATTTTAATATTAATATGATTGTGGGAGGATAAAAGTTTTTCAGTTTTTTCGCAACATATATAAAAAAGGAATCTATTTGAGTTTTCGGTTTAATGGGGATTTGGGATTTTAATTAAAATATATATTTAAATTTGGGACGCAAGGATCGGTCTAAGTATGGAAGGTTGATTCTCCGCGTACGTTAGTCGAAAAGAAAATTTCGATACGTGCGTTTGACATACTGGACATTTTTATCCTCCCACAATCATATTAATATTAAAATTATATTAGTATTTAATAGCACTAAGACATCCGTGCTAGCTCCTTATGTGCCATTAATATTTCACTATTAGTTAATTCTATAAAGGAGCGTTCTATTATTTCGGTTTATCTTAAAGCATCGGCAGGAAGAATATGCTATCTCTCTCTCGTACAATAACATCTCTTACGAGATCGACTCTTTCGTTCTCTCTCACCTTACATCTTAGAGAATTTATAAACATTGTGTTGCGAGATTACTGTCGAAGCCTTGGTGGCCGAATGGAAAGGCGTCCCGCCCGGAAAGTGGGGAGGTTCCAGGTTGGAGTCCTGAAGGCAGTTTTTTCGCAACATATATAAAAAAGGAATCTATTTGAGTCTTCGGTTTAATGGGGGTTTGGGATTTTAATTAAAATATATATTTAAATTTGGGACTCAAGGATCGGTCTAAGTATGGAAGGTTGATTCTCCGCGTACGTTAGTCGAAGAGAAAATTTCGATACGTGCGTTTGACATACTGGACATTTTTATCCTCCCACAATCATATTAATATTAAAATTATATTAGTATTTAATAGCACTAAGTCATCCGTGCTAGCTCCTTATGTGCCATTAATATTTCAAGAAATGTATTATTTTTAAATTTTTTCTTCGAACATTTTACTCTCTCTAACATAGATGTAAAATGTATATTAGCAGTATTTAAATTGAATGGTAGGCCACTGTGATACAAGGAAGGTCTTATTATATATAGAAGACCTCATTTTTATGACATGTTGAAACACGTTATCAAAGTTAGCATATATATAAATTCAAATAAAAGCGAGTAAACTGATACCAGACTCACCTGTTACCGGTGAACTCCACGCTTTGTTGGTCGTTTACACGAAATTCGGAGTCCTTATAACCCCAACCGTTCCACTTTAGCAATTGTTGCCTTAAACATAAAGAAAACGAAAGTATAGAAGTATAGAAGTATAAACAAATTAAGTGAAACGGATTATGAAAGTATTAGTGTTGATATATGATTATAACTACGCGGATTTCAAAATAAGTCTATTCTGAACTATTACAAACTATATTTTATCAAAAGCTCTGAAGGGAGGCTTGTATACATCTAAACAAAAAAAGACCTAATAGTGCTAATAGTGACCTAATAGTGACCTAATAGTGACCAAACCTATAAGTGCTGGATGTGAAAAAATAGATAAAAACATTAAAGATAAGTTTATAAACCATCATTTTTATTTTTATTTTACTTTCTTACAGTTTCTTGGTTGTAGAATCACATGGTGGAATTTATTTTCTGTTAAAATAAATAAAAACTCTAAAAATTCCAATGAAACGTTATATAAAAACGTGAAAAGATTCTCTCTCTCTCTCTCTCTCTCTCTCTCTCTCTCTCTCTCTCTCTCTCTCTCTCTCTCTCTCTTTCTCTCTCTCTTTCTCTAATATACAATTTAAATATTTAAGAACAGAGAGCCTATAAGAACTGAGCGCTACGAGGATGTAAGTGAAAAATTATTACAGTAAAATTTATTTCACAAACATATACTAACGCAAACGTTGGCGGTAGAATGTGTTTGAATGATTTTACATAAAATTTTCATGGAAAAGTATCCAATGTAGGAACAAAACATTTGCAATTAATATATGACGATTGTGAAATAAATTTTACACGTAAGTCAAATTAAAAGTAAATAAGAACTAACGTCGTCAGTAAGATAAGAACAATGATATTTATAATTACAAAAATATATAAAAAATTACAGACATTTCGATCTTAACATTTTGACCCTCTTCAATGTGATGCAGAATTACAATAATACAAAAAAATTATAGTGATGTAATCGGTTAACATATTGAACTATTGACGCACATAAAAACAAGTAAAACGTTATAAAGCTGAACTGGTTAAAAAACTTAAATAAAAAAAAATAAAAAATGAAAAATGAAAAACAATTGTTTGGCTTTAATATTGCGACTAACACCCATGTCTATTTTGCGCTGGTCTTTTACTTATTGTAATGCGTTCTTGTCATTAAACCTTCTTTATCACTGAAGTTTCTTTATCACTGAGTTTCTTTATCACTGAAGAGGGTTCACGGTTGAGCCGAAACGTTTGAATGTTTTTTATATATTGATTATTCATTTCAATAAACATTACACGATTTCCTAACATAAGGAAGGTGTTTATCCATATAATTTATAGCATTATTAGTCCTGTGCTTGAACTCGGATTGCTTTTTCCTACCGTTTGATTTATATTTATTTTTATAATTCATATATAATTTTTTGTTCGACTACTTTTATTTTACTTTCCTTTCTCTTTCTAGTCATGAAACAAACACAAAATTTATGACTTCTAAGGTTTTGAATTAGCAATAAAGTTTAGCAATAAAGTAATAAACCAAAGATATTTTTTCTAAAAACAATTATTATATATATATATATATATATATATATATATATAAGTTTCTTAATAACTATTAATTTAATTATAATAATATATTAATTTAATTGTATATTAACATAATATATTAATTATTATAAATATATATTAAATTTATAACTTTAAAACTGAGGTAATTAATTTCTCTAGCATTTGAAAAATGAAGAAATGCATATTGTTGTTTTTTTGTCTTATTAGAATTATCTAAAGGCAGTTAGTAAATTTTGTTTTTCGTTTATATATAAATAGAGGGAAAAATTACATGTTATTATTTACTTCTTTTATTTATTTTGTACATTGATTAGATGAAAAATAAATCAAACAGAATGTAAAGTTAGATCCGATCCCACCTTACCGGTTATGTTCTGAAAATCCACATTATCATTAGAGGGTTAAAGAGAATCGGTACAATACTGGGTAAAGACTACGATATACCGTATCCCGATTCCGGATAATTTTTATTGATACATTCACACTTCCTCTACATAAGCACATTGATTTCGCAATATATTATCGTGCTTATAAGCGCACGGAAACAATGAATATATGTAGTGAGGATAGTTACTAGCACCGCCATATTAATCGTTCTCTATCGCGTACGCGATAGCTGACTCACTCACTCCGCGCAGTGTATAACTTATCGCCGTTACGTCTGATAGCGAAACAGTAGTTGCATTCGGGGAGACGCTATTTGGCGCTAAAAGCGTGTTTCGTCCTTTCCTTATAGAAATATCATACTAAGAATCATTGATAATTACTTATTTTCAGTATTAAAAATACTGGATAATAAGTAATTATCAATGATTCTTAGTATGATATTTCTATAAGGGTTGTTCAACTTTCACTAAGTAATAAGGACAGAACACGTTCATAACGCCAAATAGTGTCTCCCTAAACGCAGCTAGTGTCAACTTATACCTATATAAATAAGTAATGTAACTTACACCTATGTAAGATGTAAAATTATCGTCAGATTCAAGGTGACGATTATTTACAGTAAAATTACAGTAAGATGGTAGTAAGATGATAATTTTGGTAAAATTCGTTGTTTCTGATAATTTTATGTATAAATAGGCTGTACTTATATTTTTGTATTAATGCATAAGATATAAAACAATAGTATTTTTTCAGTCTTTGAGATAAAAGAAAGGAAACTATTTACTGTCGAATCCTTCGACAGTATTAAAATTTCTATTTCTTAAAATACTACTAAAAAATGTTCAATTATATACCACAGTCTAATAGAATAGCAGAAAGAGCAAGGTAATAAATAAAAATGCTGTAAACTTGTAAGATATAATGGTATGAAAAATATAGATTAGAGATAAGACTTATTATATCTTCTACGCTTTTTGTCTTCAAAATCCTAATAAAAAAAATTTGTTTGTTTAAATTTCTCTAAAGAGAGTGACTATGTATCTAATTTTCTATTATATGATACATCAATATACAATATCAAAATATTTTATACAATATTATATACAAATATTTTATACAATATTTTTATACAATATCAAAATATTTTATAAAAAATATAAGTTAAATAAAGTATTTTACTCATCTTAAAAGCTAAATGATCTTTTTGAGCTTTATATCAAAATTATTTTATTTCTGTAATTTTTTTCTAAATTATTATTTTACTTGCAAAAATTACCGGATAATTTACTGCAATTTACTGAGTAAGTTATTGTCAAATTGGATTATTTTCACCTCTACTTATACCCAAAAGGTGCCATATATTATGCTGTAAACGCTTTGAAGCGCTTAATTAAAACATTTACAGTGTTTATCCAGCGAGAACGTAGACGTCGATTCGATGTCTAACCGACGTCGGATAAGTCTAAGTTACGTCTAGTTTAAATGTACGTCTAGAAAAATGGCAATTTAGACGTCTTCTATTTTGAGTGAATTCTTATGTTTTAGAATCCATTCATAATATATTGATCATTAAAAGAGAGTTTTCGATAAAATTTGGGAATTTTATTTTGTCGATTATGTACAATCTTTCTAGACGTCTATTCGACATTGAATCGACGTCTAATATCTCAGTGAGAAATGACTTATCGATCGACGTCGAAAAGACGTCGAATCGACGTCTATTTGACGATTTCGACACCGATTCGACATCTTTTCAACGTCGATAAATAAGTCATTTCTCACTGAGATCGCGTGCGTTTTGCATAAAAAATTTATTCTAAGTGGAAACGTCAGTTTTCTTTTAGATTTCCGATTCAATTATAGTATTACAAAGATAGGAATGTCAGATTACTCGAAAAACATTAAACTGGAAGGAATGATCAAAGTCATTTTGCAAATAATTACATAAACTTTAGAGATATTAAATAAAATAGACAGGTGAATCAACGCGTGTATTTGCTAGGTACGTTATAATATACTGTGAACACTAAGTATAAATTTTATAAGCATAAATAAAGTATTTTATAAGTATAAATTGTAAGAACATCATTGGAGTCATTGGAACACCGCGTGCTGCTCGATCGTCAGGTTAAGCAACGCAGTCAGGATGGATGGTGACCACTTCGAATTCGAAATTTTCGAGGCAGGATTCGCGAAAGTTTTAGCGTATGTTTGACAATCTTCGGTTTCTAGCAGTTTATAAGACATAAAGAAAATTAGGAATTAGTTATTTTTATGAAACAATCTAGTGAGAAATGACTTATTGATCGACATCGATAAGACGTCGAAATGACGGTCTATTAGACATCTAAATGTGGATCGTTTTTAGGTCGATATAGATCTTAATCTAGATTAGACGTAGATGGTAGATAGACGTTTCATATAGACGTCTAGTAGACGTCGAATCGACGTAACCTTTCTCGCTGGGTAGTGAATCGCACACACATATCCTAAATTTTGCGAAGAGAAAGACGACGACGTACTTGTGTGTAAATAACATAATTCTAGTGGAAAAATACATATGCATATTCGTATCAATATATTAATGTATCAATGCATCTATCAGCATATTTCTTATATTATTTCAATTATAAAATCCTCGAATATCTTAACTTTGAATTAAACGTTGAATTTTTGTTTAAATGTCATTCCGAGTTTTAGGGAAGTTTTATCGGAAAATTCTTTAATATTATGGCACAAGTGTATTCTCGTAATAATGATATTAAAGATATAAATATTTTAAATATTTTAAAATTAATAAAAGCGTTAAGATACATAAATTTAAGAACTAGCGGCTGAATTTTAGTGATTTTATTTATTCTATTTGTTACATTTATTATTCTTGATTTATCTTTCGTTATTTTTTGTATTTATTTCTTTCGCGTACTCTCTGTTTCTTTCTCTCTCTTAATCGACCGTTTTTGCGAGTTACTTATTTCGAATATTTCATGAGACCTTTACATACGTCAATTGTCTCAAAGGCGTTGTTGCCAGCGAAGACGAGATTGTTATCGAAAAATAAATAACTATAATTTCTTACTTTTACTTTTTATTTTTTATTGCCATTGTAGAATGGACTTTAGAGTTATGACTCAGCTGTACAAAAATACATAAAGTTACGTGGATTATTCAAAATATATATTTCTGATACAGAAATAGCACAAATTTCGCAAAATTTTAGAAAATTTCAGAACTAAAAGTGATTAGTCGATTAGTCTTTGTTTGACAGTACGTCAAAGTGAATTTTATGAGAGTGATAGGTCCTGCATTTAATCATATTAACAAAAACTGAACAACTTTATTGATTTGTGAAGAACTTTCAGCACCGATTTATAACTGTCAATGTAATTTGAGTTTATCACTTTATTTAAAAAACACGGGAACAATCAATCTAAGAAATGCACAAAGACATTAAAGGCGTCACTTTGACGCATTGTTAAACAAAAACTAATTGATAGATCATTCTATGCTTTTATAATTAATTTTGAAAAGAATGACTGTGAAATATAGTAATAAAAATTCAACTAAATTCGCACTATCTCTGTATTAGGCTACGAACTTTTTGGGCAACTTATAGATGTACGACAAAGAAGTATACTTTCTTATAAATAAAATCTTCGATGTTATTCGGAGTGCAGGGAATATCTTACAAATTTGTTTAATCGATTGCAAATGTTACTTTATGGATATATATTTTTATTTTAACGTATTTCGTAAGAATTTTTAGCATGCATTTTCTCGCTTCTGACGTCATCAAAAAGAGATAGATAATGCACGGGACCAAGAACCTTAAGAGCTTACACCAACTAGATTCACGAATTTTAAAACAGTTGTAAAGCAGCTCTTTTTTTGCTGAGCGTAATCATTATTTCAAATTGCCTGCCGTGAGGCGCGCAATTTTGCCACGTGACCGATTGCTCCGACCAATCGACCGAGCGGAAAACAGACGATTTTCAAAACTCGCGCATAATACTCAGCACCGCGATCCACTCGTCTTTGTTGTATTTTATAACATTTTCCACATCTAAAACGCAATAAACGTACGACCTTGGAGGTCCGAAGAAAGCGAAAGGGCATTGACGGGATTACTACGTCGGCAAATACCCACATCATCGAATTCCTCTCATTGGACAGATTACAAAGATCTAAACACGATGAGAACAAACTTTTCTCTATAAGCTCTTTATCGATCGGTGTTATAGTGTTCCGCGTCACATTCGAGGATATACCACAAGATAGACGAGATTCACGACACCGGCAGCCGTCTGGTGAGTCACGAGCGCACACGCGTATAAACACACGCGACCCGAGGCGTGGTCGGTAGCGACGAATGCACGCGTGGGATTAGCGCATCGCTCTGATCGCAGACAAGTCGAGGGCGAATTGCATTTTCGTGCTCAATATATACACTTACGAACGCGCCAACCTGACACACACACACACACGACACAACGCGTCTCAGTTACTCACGATTGCGATCCCGACGAATGTGATTTCGCCGGCGAAACAGACCGACGGCGCAGACTGACTGACCTGATTTTTGGCACGGCGCTCTCGAACTTAATCGGCCCGTCTGGCACGGCCGCCGTCGCCGGAGCCGCCGTCTCGCACTTCCCTCGTCCGGACATATTCTCTTCCTTCTGAAGAAGCTCTAAACTGTTCGTACAGATGTACGCACCTCGGCGAGCGTGACGACAAGACGGCGGTAGCGCACACGGCGACTGCGCTATGTTGACTATTGACACGCGAACCGGCAAACCAAATTTAAATCGATACAGCCCCCGCCCGACCGCCCATCGGTGTGCCAACCCGCTCGCGCGTTGCCGCACACGCCGGCCAATAAGAAAACTGTTCCCTACAGCTGCACCATCTGCGGCTTCGCGCAATTTTTTTCGCTTCATCTCTCTTCCGCCGGCTCTTGGCCGTTTCGTATGACTGTGGCTGCGTTCCGAAATTCACTGCCAGTACTGAAAATCTATAGTTTATGTCACGTATATTATAGAATTTCAGCACTGGCAGTAAATTTCGGAACGCAGCCTCTGTCCGCTTCTTTTTAACTGAACTAGGATGCACCTTTTGTTTCTAGGGCGAAATAAGTGTGTAACCTATGTAAACGTTGGAAGAAAACAAACGAAGCTCTAATTTTATACAGCACTAAATGTCTGAAATACATTCCAGAAACGTTCCAGAGACAATGTGATATCTCTGCCCAACGAAAATTTTTTTATACATAATTATGTAAAAGTATATAAAATTATATATAATTATACATTATTATGTATAATTATGTATGAAATTTGTCCATACATGTTAATATATATTACTTACATATAATCATGTATAATGATATATATAATTTCATACATAATTTTACATAATTACGCATACAATTATATGTGATTATACATGATAATGTATTTATAACTATACATAATTATGTATAATTATATATAATTTTATATGATTATGAATAATTATACATAATTATGTATGGACAAATTTTATATATAATTATGTATAAAAAATGTTTCATCAGGTGGGATGTTTCTGGGATGTATTTCGGACATTTGTGCTATATGGGAATGTAGCATTAATTCAACTAAAAAGAACAGACCTTATATTTCGTCTGAACGCTGAAGCCACTAGGGGAGCAATGACGTAGATCACTTAACGCAAGGTGAACTCAGTGACACATTAGGTTTGTTCGAGTTGCTTGTACTTTTCACACTTTTATACCTAATGCCCGTTGCACATTGGTGCACTCCAAACAATACAAATTTTCCAAAATACATTCTGAAGACGTTTTCAGGACGGAGGGACATTAATTCTTTAGAGGTTCTAAAAATGACGTCATGATTTTCGTTCGTGTTACGAGTGTAAATGTAATTCTGATACACTTTTTACACTTGACCCCAAGCAAGAGTGAAAAGTGTATTAAAATTGCATTTACACTCGTAACACAAACGGAAAACATGACGCCATTTTTAGAACCTCTAAAGAATAAGGCTGCGTTCAGAGACACACACTGTGTGCGTACTACTAGACGATAGCCGTTGGAGTGAGCGAAATACAAAAGTGAGATAAAAAGAGAGGGAGAGTACTCGAGTAACGTTTCCGAACGCAACCTTAATGTGCACTAAGTGTGAAAGTGTAAAAAGTTCAATTAATGCGAATAAACTTATTGGATATTAGCTATTTTCAGACAGTTCACATCTTCAAAGGACGTCCTAAAAATATTCTGATGACATCCGTCCGTCCTAAAAGCATCTTCAGAACGTATTTTGGAAAATTTGTATTGTATGAGGTGCACTAGTATGCAACGGGCATTAGGTGTAAAAGTGTGAATAGTACAAGCAACTCGAACAAATCTATTGAAGTCTGAAGCTAGTAGATCTATTCTGTGTGTAATAGGCTTTCTATAATAAACCATCCCACACAGCAGAGGTGTCCAAAATATATCACAGGGATATCCTAAAGATATCCTAATATTTGGGATATGCGATATCTTCAAGATATTCTTATGATATATTTGGGACGTTCCTGCTGTGTGGGATAAGTTGTAAAAAAACTAACCACAGTCGATTATTTTTTAAAATAGTTGACTGTCATTGGTTAATTTACTTGTGGTTTATACGCATTAATATAGGTTTGTGAATTAATGGCTTATTGTAAAAAGCTTATAACTTTTAATGACAATGTCATAATCGTTAAACTGTCGTTGGCGCAGGTAGGGTGCGTTCAAATAGTAGCATGTCGCGCTACGAGTCGCTAACGCTATGAACATCGTTCAGGAAGTCAATAGCGCGATAGCGTTAAGGCTAGTTTATGATGGCTGTAATCCGTTAACTTATGCCGGAACCGTAAAAAATTGACCAATTATAGTCAAATTATAGAAGAATAATCGACTGAAAATCACTTGAAGCAGCTTTTCGACCAAAAACTACAAAAGTTCTATTGCAATGGGATTATGGCTTTGCCCCAAAAATAGCAAAATATTATCGAAAATAATGGAGCATATTTGGTTTGAATAAATTGATTTTAATATTCTAAGAAAAATACTTGAATTTTACTAAAAAACACGACGAACTTTTTCCCACACCCAATATCTTTATCGCTCATGACATGCGGGAAGAAGATAGAATGAGGGTGCAAACCCATACAGCGAAATTGCGGAGCGCGGAACGAGAGCGGAACCAATCACGAGCGTTCCGCAGTTTTCGTCGCACGGATTTTCAATCCCTAAGTACCCATGGAGCGGAATGAGCGTAAGCGGAATGAATAGCACGTAATTAAATGACTTTTAAATGAATGTTTTATTACTCGTTTTTATTATTATATATATAAATATTTAATTAAATGTATTTTGTATTGGAAATATTGACTGAAAATGTTAAAATTTATAAAATAAATTTTAAGGCAGTTATAACTTTTTGAAATAATGACTCGCGATTGATTGAGCGAGTACTCATTCCGCTCCATGAGTACTTAAGGGTTCGTGTTTCAATGCGAAAAATGACGGATTTCATTTATATTATGCATTACCGGGAGCCACTTACTGAAGGAAGGAAGGATATATATATATTACGCATCCATTGTAAAATTCATGATATAGCGGTAATGTTGTATTAAATATTAACTAATATCGTTTGTTGTATTGAGTTTTAATTAATATTGTTTTATAGACTTGGTTAGCTGGATTAATTGTAAAATAAGTACTTCTGTTACTTGTAATTACTTGTAAAATTGCCATTTTAATTAATAATAATTGATAAGCAATATATAATATACAATGAAATATAAAATATATTAACAATATTGTATGAATATTGTGATTTTATGTAATAACCCATACAGCACAGCAACGTTGCAGCAACATTGCAACATCATTATTTTGCAGTATTGTGACATTGCAACAACGTTGCAAAATGTTGCTGTAATGCTACTGCAACCTTGCAGCAACGGTAAAATGTTCGCTTGCGGCAATATAACAACGCAACTGTGCAGCAACATTGCAACATCATTATTTTGCAGTATTGTGACATTGCAACAACGTTGCAAAATGTTGCTGTAATGCTACTGCAACCTTGCAGCAACGGTAAAATGTTCGCTTGCGGCAATATAACAACGCAACTGTGCAGCAACATTGCAATGCAATATATATGTAATATTATTAATATGTTTTATTATACAAAGTAAAATCCCAGATAACACTCTTATAGGAATATCATACTAATAAATACTAAAAAATTATTAGTGATTATGTATTACTAGTAATTCAGTAATTTTTTCGTCAGTACTTAATTTCTGGTGAATACTAATAATAAAATCACTATTAAATATTGATAGTAATCAAATACTGAGAATTATTATGCGAAAGTGAAAAATAAGAAAATCATAATATTTAAAAAATATATTTATAATTCCTAATTTTCTTATGTCTCATAAACTACTAGGTATCGAAGATTGTCAGTACACAACTCCAAACTTTCGTGAAACTTCCCTCGATAATTTCGATCCCAAGCGGTATACTATCGGCACCCATCTATGTCCTAATTCCGTTAAAGTGTTGCTTAATCTGACGATTGAGCGGCACGCGACGATTCCCAATGCCTCCAACAATATTCTTACGATTTGTGTTTATATAATTTATCCTTATAGTGTTCACAGTATATTATAACATACCTAGCAAACATCAAATAATAGTTATATAACTTTTACTTGGTGTTCGTTGGATAATTTATTGATAGATATCAAGCGACACAGTAGTGTCGCGAAGCCAAGTGCAAGCGCAACAACGGGCTCGCGGCCGACCGTGTATATTTACGCGACGACTTTAGGTGAACACAGGCACAATTCCTCTTTCGACTATAACGGCTGAACGGATGAGATTCTAGATAGGCTTAATCTATTCCTTGGGTTTACATTCATAAAACTGTCTTTACTTTTGCTGTATATGCTCTAGAAGCTGAAATATTTTAACTCAAAGTCCGGAATCGTAAATTTATGCTTGAGAAACGTCGTCTTCTCATTACGAGAACCTCAGTTGACTGTATTCCTCCGCTAAAGGCGCTACGCTTGAGATCAATCTGGCTTAGCCGATATGAGAGAGAGAGAGAGAGAGAGAGAGAGAGAAATAGAAAAGAATAAGAGAGAGAGAGAGAGAGAGACAGAGAGGGAGAGGGAGAGGGAGAGGGGGAGAGAGAGAAAGAGAGAGAGAGAGAGAGAGAGAGAGAGAGAGAGATCCGTACTGTCAAAGAATGCGTTCGGGAAACACGCTACTAACGCTACCGCGTTCTTTTATCTTTATTGTTTCTTAGATATACAAAGATAGAATGATATGGTAACGCTGAATAGCGTTAATAGCGAGCTCCCCGAACGCACCTATAGGAAGCGTTCCATAAGAATTATAAAATGAACGATAATATCGCAACAATAATATTAGTTAGTGTTCATATTAGTGTTACAACATTGTTATTTGTGAAAGGGATATAGGTTAGAGCAATTGTGCCGCAAATTCGACTATGAAATATTTTAGTAATAAAATATAAAAACAAAATTACTTTTTTTAAAAAAAGTATAAAAAAAAGCTAAGTGCACGCACGTTCGTATTACTAGGTGCGCAACTAAGTTTCCGAGTTTCACACATAGATGGCGCTAACGACACATGTCGACATACATGTCTAAAGTTGTTTTTTTTATAGCTTGGACATCTGTCAACAATAACCAGTCATAATACCAACACATATCGCAACGCAAA